TATACCCCAAAGAGCCGACTGCTGGGACGTGAGCAGATGCTTGCACGCCCATGTTCCCAGCAGCAGGATTCACAGTCGCCGGCAGGTGGAGGCTGTCCACACGGTCCACACAGTGGAGTATGATTCTGCCTTAATGAGGACATCTGACACCCGAGCCAAGGGACTAGCTGGAAGCCTCCCACCCCGCCCCCGCCCCTCCACCGGGCTCTGCTCCCCGCTTCTTCAGTAACGTCCCCAGTTGGGACTCCTGCGTTGATGCCCATTGTGACCGGGTCTCCTCTGGCTGGTAACAAATCGGAGCATAGGCCTCGTGGGCTCCGGATGCGCCCAGGTGCACAGGCTGTGTCCCCCGCCCCGCCCCCACCCCGGGTCAGGGAACGAACTCCAGGGAAGGTGGGATGCTGAGTGTAAGCTCCCCAGCTCTCTCCAGCGCCTTCCCCACCCCTTCGTTTTGGGTAGAAGTAAGAGTGAGGAAGAGGCAGCTCTGGCCCCCAGGGGGCTGCTGGGTTTAACTTCTGTCCTTCCCAGCCGCTCTCCTGGCACGTCAGAGGCCCACGGGGCTCCGGGCACCACGCTCAGGTCTCCATGGAGACGGTGACTGTCTCCAGCTGGGCTCCAGCAGCCCACCCTGGGGCTGAGCCGCGGACCGGGGGCGGAGCGGGGCCGGGGGCGGGGCGGGGCCGGGGCCGGGGCGGGGCCGGGCGCGGGGCGGGGCCGGGGGCGGGGCCGGGCGCGGGGCGGGGCGGGGCCGGGGTGGCTGAGCCGCGGGCCGGGGGCGGGGCGGGGCGGGGCCGGGCGCGGGGCGGGGCCGGGGTGGCTGAGCCGCGGGCCGGGGGCGGGGCCGAGGGCGGGGGCGGGGCCGGGGGCGGGGCCAGGTGGCCGCCGGTAGCAGTCATGGTGATAGCTGAGTGCTGACAGTGTCCCGGGCGCTCTCCGAAGCCTCACCCATGAGCTCGCTGAACCCATGCCAGGGACGCCACCCGGTTCTCTCTGCGGTGTCACTCGGCCAATAAGGGATCTGAGGCCCAGCCGCCTCTAGCTGGAGGAAGACGGTGTGGGGTCGCGGGCAGTGTGCGGGCTCCAGAGTGGGCTGGCTGCGTTCAAATCGCAGCACTCTTCCTGTGTGGCCTTGCACAAGCGGCTTGACCTCTCTGAGCCTCAGTTTCCCCTTGTGTAAAGTGAGTGTGGAAACAGTACTTCCCTCTCACGGTTGCTAGGAGGATTGTGCAGGGAGAGACCAGGGCGAGGTCACCTGCAGAGAAGTTTTAAGGCCAGAAAACTCAGCCAAGATAGATTATTTTGATGCAATTTTAAAAATCAACGCTGGGGGCGCCTGGGTGGCTCAGTCGGTTAAGCGTCTGACTTCGGCTCAGGTCATGATCTCATGGTTCGTGGGTTCGAGCCCCACGTCGGGCTCTGTGCTGACAGCCCGGAGCCTGGAGCTGCTTCGGATTCTGTGTCTCCCTCTCTCTCTCTCTGCCCCTTCTCCCACCCGTCTCTTTGTCTCCCCAAAATAAATAAACATTTAAAATTTTTTAAAAAATAAAAATCAACATTGATGGACAGCAAGTCCATAACGAACAGAATGCCAACATTTTCTTTTATTTTTTTAAAATGTTTATTCATTTATTTTGAGAAAGAGAGAGAGAGACCACGCGTGGGAGGGGCAGAACGAGGGAGACAGAGAGAAGCCCAAGCAGGCTCCGTGCTGTGAGCGCAGAGCCCGATGCGGGGCTCCAGCCCACAAACTTGAGGTTTGATCCGAGCTGAAATCAAGAGTCAGACGCTTCACCGACTGAACCACCCAGGTGCCCTGAATGTCAACATTTTAAACAGAATCATCATTACTGATTTTTCCCTTTGGCTCAGCATGGCATTGCCACTGGTACTGTCTTCCTTCTGAAATAACATTTTTAATTTAAAATAAAAACACAACAAATTAAAAATTAAAATCAGGGGATCAGTAACAGTGCCGTGCTGAACTCATAGGAAAACTCAGGAATACGAATTGTCTTCATTTAAAATTGTGATATCTTGTCCCTTATATTTTTTTGCATTTTGATCTTTTAAATATTACATTAAGTGTTTTTGTAAAGTTTATTTACTTAATTTTTTACGTTTTTTAAATGTTTTATTTATTTTTGAGAGAGAGAGAGACAGCATGAGCAGGGGAGGGTCAGAGAGAGAGGGAGACACAGAATCCAAAGACAGGCTCGAGGCTCTGAGCTGTCAGCACAGAGCCTGACGTGGGGCTCGAACCAACAAACCAAGAGATCATGGCCTGAGCCGAAGTCGGACGGTTAACTGGCTGAGCCACCCAGGCGCCCCTATTTAATTTATTAAGTTCTCTCTACACCCAACGTGGGGCTCAAACTCACTACCCCGAGATCAAGAGTCACACGGTCCACCGACTCTGAGTATACGCTGTAAGAATCTGTTTATTTGTACCCACCTAAGGGTATGTTGTGCAGATTAAATGAGTTTGTACATGTCGAACACCTAGCACAGAGCCTGGTACCGGGAGAAAGCTATGTGATTTATTAATAAATAAGTAAATATATGGCATATAAAACTTAAATTAAAATTGGTATAAATGCTATGGAGGAAAAAGCAAGCCTGAAGAAGCAGGTGATGGTAGCTGGATGACTTTAGATAAGGTGGAGAGAGAAGGTGACGAGGATTGAAAGAGTGAGCTCTGGGCCATCTGGGAGAGGACACTCCAGACAGAGGGCACATCCTGTGCAAAGGTCCTGGGGCAGCACCGGGCCTGGTGTGTGGGAGGAACAGCCAGGAGGCCCGTGTGGCTGGAGAAGAGTGGGCGAGGGGGAGAGAGGGAGGAGGGAAGGGCAGGGAGGGGACGGGGCAGGTCCCGCAGGGCCTTGGGGACTGCGGAGAGGACTCTGGCTTTAATTTGGGGACATCTCTGAAGAGTTTTAAGGCAAGGTGTTGTGAAGCCTGTAGAGCACTTGGTCCAAATTTGTGTCACTATCCTTTGAAATATTTTGAATAGTATGTGCACACACAGCAAGTGTAAGGGAAAAAATGTTATTTCTGGTCACTGTTGATAAAAACACAACAGTTGCTATTCTTTTTTTTTTTTTTAATCTTTGTTCTTTCGGGTTTTTTTGTTTTTTGGGAGTTTTTTTTCTGCCAAATCCCTGGATGAAGCTTGCTATTTCTAGTCAGTCAGCTGTAAACTTAAAAGTACTGAGCACAGTGCCTTGCCCATGGTAGTATCAAAGTGTTCCTTTTTGGATACATGCCTAGTAGTGCTATTGCTGGGTCATAGGGTAGTTCTATTTTTGATTTTTTGAGGAACCTCCACACCGGTTTCCACAGTGGCTGCACCAGTTTGCATTCCCACCAACAGTGCAAGAGGGATCCCCTTTCTCCGCATCCGCACCAACATCCGTTGTTTCCTGAGTTGTTAATTTTAGCCACACTGACCGGTGTGAGGTGGCATCTCAGTGTGGTTTTGATTTGTGTTGCCCTGATGATGAGCGATGGTGAGCATCTTTTCACGTGTCGTTGGCCATCTGTGTGTCTGCTTTGGAAACGTGTTTATTCATGTTTCCTGTCCAGTTCTTAACTGGATGATTTTTCTGTTGGGTCTTGAGTTTGGTAAGTTCCTTATAGAATTTGGATAGTGGCCCTTTATCTGAGATGTCATTTGCAAATTTATCCAAAGAATGCAGGAACGCTGATGCACCCCAATGTTTACAGCAGCGCTATCGACAATAGCCAAAATCTGGAAAGAGCCTAAATGTCCATCAGCTGGTGAATGGATAAAGAAGACGTGGTTTATATACACGATGGAGCACTACTCAGCAAAGAAAAAGAATGAAGTCTTGCCATTTGCACAAGGTGGATGGAACTGGATTGTATCATGCTAAGCGAAGTATGTCAGTCAGAGACAGACAGATACCCTATGTTTTCAGTTGTGTGGGAATTTGAGAAACTGAACAGAAGACCACGGGGGAAGGGAAGGGGAAAAATCGTTACAAACCGAGAGGGAGGGAGGCAGACCGTAAGAGACTCTTCAAGGCAGAGAACAAACTGAGGGTGGCTGGGGTGGGGAAGGGGTGCTGGGCACTGAGGAGGGCACTGGTTGGGATGAGCGCTGGGTGTTGTACGTGAGCCATGAACCACAGGACTCTACCCCCAAAGGCAAGAGCACACTGTACGCGCTACGTTAGCCAACTTGACAACAAATTTTATGTGTGTGTGTGTGTGTGTGTACACACACACACATAGATATACGTTCCTATATATTTTATTTATTTTATTTTTTTATATTTTTATTTATTTCTAAGAGAGAGAGAGAGAGAGACAGCGTGAGCAGGGGAGGGTCAGAGAGAGAGGGAGGCACAGACTCTGAAACAGGCTCCAGGCTCTGAGCCGGCAGTCAGCACAGAGCCCGACGCGGGGCTCGAACCCACGAACCGCGAGATCATGACCTAAGCGAAAGTCGGACGCCTAACCGACTAAGCCACCCAGGCGCCCCCGCTCCTATATATTTTAAAAGTGTTCCTTTTTTGTTGCCAATATTATTATTATTATTACTACTATTACTATTAATTATCATTCAGTTGCGTGCTTAGCAGAGCCGAGGACAGGGTAAATGCCAAGCAGGCACCCTCCAGAACTGTGGAGAGCTACTCTCAGCGTTCTTCCTTGGGGGCAGCGGGGATGGGCCTCGGCCCCCTCCCCGCTTCGCCCCCCTCCCCCCCCCCCCCCCCCCCCCCCCCCCCGCCCGCCCTGGGCGCGGGAGGCGCCGCCGCGTCGATGCGCGCTCCGGCCGCCAGGGGCCGCTGCGGAGCCGCCTTTTGTGGTCCTGATGCTGGAGCGAGCGGGCGCGCGGAGGAGGAGGGAGGAGGCCGCGGGGACGGGGCGGGAGGGAGGCGGGAGGCGGCGTCCGTCGCTCCAGCTGCGAGTCCGCCCGCCGCCCGCCGCCGCCGCCGCCGCCGCCGGCTCGGTCCCGCGCCCGCCGCCCGCCCGCGCCCGCCATGGCCCGCCTGACGGAGAGCGAGGCGCGCCGGCAGCAGCAGCAGCTCCTGCAGACGCGGCCCTCGCCCGTGGGCAGCAGCGGGCCCGAGCCCCCCGGGGCGCAGCCCGACGGCATGAAGGACCTGGACGCCATCAAGCTCTTCGTGGGCCAGATCCCGCGCAACCTGGACGAGAAGGACCTCAAGCCGCTCTTCGAGCAGTTCGGCCGCATCTACGAGCTCACGGTGCTCAAAGACCCCTACACGGGCATGCACAAAGGTGGGCGCCCCGGCCCCCTCCCTGCCCTCCCCCTCCCCCCCCGGCCTCCCCACCCCACCTTCCGGCATTTTCTCTCCCCCAGCCCGCCTCTCCTCACCTCCTCCCGCTGCCTGCCGCCGCCACAGCGTCCTTGCTCTCCCCCTTCCCACCCACCCCTCCTCCCCCCTCTGGGGGTGCAGCTGACAGATTCGAGCTGGCCCCCTCCCCTCCTCCGCCCCCTCTCCCTCCCTCCCCACCTTCCGGCATCCTCTCTCTCCCTCTCTCCCTCTCCCTCTCTCTTTCCTTTTCTCTCCTCTCCCGTCTCCCTCTACCTCCCATCCTCTCCCCCCCCAGCATCCTTCTCTCTCTCTGCCTCTCCCTCCCATTCCCTCTGGACCCCCACCCCGCCCTCCCCCCCTCACCCACTCTTTCCTGCCCCTTTGCCGGGGAAGCTGCCCGAACACCGCCACCCCTCCCTGCCCCCTCCCCCTCATTCATTCGGCCTCCCCAGGCCCCGTCGGGGAAGTTTGCACCTCTGGACTCCATTGCTTTGGTCATTTTCACAAAGCCAGGCGAGCGGGGCAGGTCCGGCCAGCCGCGGGGGACACGGATGCCCAGGACCCCGGGCTAATCGGTAACTACAAAGAAAGCAGGGTGGGGGTATCAGGGAGCTGAGCCAGGCTGGGGGTGGGGGGCGCCAGCCTCCCCAGGCTCGGGTGGTTAGAATGCTATGGTCGCCCTCCCCCCCTTGCCCATCCTCTCTGTTTGGATCAGCGTCCCCTCTCCATTCCTCTGCCCTCCCCCTCCCTGCCTCCACCTTTGGCTCAAGTTAAAACTGGCCTAGCCTGTTAGCAATGTGTTGAGGTCTGAGGCCAAAGACGATGAGCCTGGACCGTCCATCTGGCAGAGCCCAGATCCTAGGGTGGACGGGGAGGCGTGGGCGACCTGGGAACACAGTGGGGGGAGGCGGGGGGGGAGGCCTGCCCACCTCCCTCCCACCTGATTCTCTCAGACGGGATGGTGGGAGGAGGAGCCCCGGCACTGTGGCCCCAGCCCTGGGCTCAGAGCACGGGCACGGGCCCAGCGTCTGAATTACGGGGGCTTTGACGGCTCTCCCGTCAGGTGGCGGTGACCGAGGGTGGGGGCAGTGAAGGCTTCGTGCTGGACACCCCTGGCAAGGCCCTGAAGGCACCTTGGGGATGGACCAAGGCTCGTGACCTATTTCAGACCCCGTTTTCCCCCATCTTCTCTGTTGCAGGCATGGGAAGCCTGAATACATGCTTGTTGGATGAATGAATGAGTGAATGAATGAATGAATGAATGAACGCATGGATGATGGACCCAGGCAGGCCATTGGGAGAGTCTGGTGGGATGGAGCCAGGCCTGTCACTGTAGGTAGCTAGACCCTCCAGCTGGTGTTCTAGGGGGAGGGAAGAAACCCCTCCCATCCCCCACCTCTTTTCAAATCCAACCATCACCAAAAAAAAAAAGGGGGGGGGCTTGGAAAATCGGATTCCTCTATGTGAACTAGGAGGGCAGAGGGCTCTCATCTGCCCAAGAGTCAAGCTCAGGGGTCCATGGATGCATGGAGGATGCTTTGCACAACCCCCCACCCCTGGTATGCCTGAAGGGTCCATTTCTAGAAAGATTCTGATGGCAGTAGGAGGGGGTGTCCGAGTGGCTCCCCAGATGTTGAATTGATAGGCTGTGGGTGGGCTCTGGATGAGGGAAGCTGATGGGGTGCAGGGGGATGCAGACACCGGGTGGTCCTTCGGCCTTTTCTCATTTTTAAATCTCCCCTGGACACCCCCACCCCCACCAGGAGGAAGGGACGGACTGTACTGGGTTTGCGCCTGGGCTGGAGCCTCAGTTTCCCCGGCTGTCAGCAAAGCAGGGCCCCTTGAATGTTGGATTATTTTTTTCTGGCTGGAGATTGTTAGGATTAGGGGCACCTCAGGGTCTTTCCCAGAAGGGTGACAGTTAGGGAGCCGGGTGTCCATGACACCCAGCTTTCACCCTCCGCCCCCCGGGGGGTCCAGCTACAGGGCCTGAGGGTGAGGAGCAGGGCTTCTCCTCACACCCAGGCTCCAAGTCTCCTGACGCCCCCTGTGCTGGGGCCTGGCTGGGCCTCCCCCACGGGAGGTGAGCAGGCAGCCGGGATGGAGGCCTGCGTCTGGGGCTCAGCTGTGTGACCTTTGGCCGATGGCTGCCCCTCTCTGGGCCTCAGCCAAAAGGAGGTGGAATGATGAATGGGAAGCGCAGGGGGGTTCAGGCACCTCCTGCCAACACTTTCGTGGTTTCGTTCCTGGGGAGCCAGCGGGGGTACGGGACGGGACGCCTGCTGCTGGTGCTGGCTGGGGGCGCAAGGGCTGGGGGTGTGGCCCCGGCGGGGGTGGGGGGAGATTCCCCCCCCCAGCCTTCTGGGCTCCTGGATGCGAGGGTCCCTTGACGGCGGGCACCAGGGGTGCTAAAAGGGACAGCAGCGCGGGTCAGCATCGCCCCGTCCTAACCGTCGCCTCATCCTGAGCCGCCCTGCCTGGGCCCCCCCAGATCCCCTCCCAACCGGCGGCCACTGAGCGAGGGGGCTTGTGGGCCTCAGCCCGTTTCCACGGAAGGGACACTGAGGCCAGGAGGGGCCGGGACTGGCTCCCAAACACCCGGTGGAGCCGGGCCCCTCACGGTCACCCGGGGAACACAGAAGCATATCCGTGTGACAGAGGAGTGGCAGGTCCCCCAGCCAAGGGTCAGGCCCCCCTCAAAGATGGTGCTGGGGAGGCAGGGCCTGTGGCATGAGGCACCCCGATGCCTGACAGCCTGTGTCGTCCCCCCCGCCCCCCCCCCCGCGTGAGACCAAGTGACAGGTGGGAGGTCCAGCCACAGGGGGGCTCTGGGCCGTGTCAGGGCGGGTCCTCGGGCGCTGCCGCGTGTTTTGTTTTTAAGAAAGGGATGGAGACGGAGAGAGATGCGGGTTTGGAGACACAAGGAGAGACCAAGAGAGACAGAGCAAGAGCAGAAAAGGAGAGAGACGCAGACAGAGAGAAACCGAGGCAGGTGGAGGCCCCCCCACACCCGGGGAGAGGCCGGGAGGGGGAGTCAGGGAGAGCCACGGTGAAGGGGAGCGCGCGCAAGGCCGCTCCTCTGCTCCTCCGCTCAGACCAGAAAGGGGGCCCAGCTGGGAGCTCGGGGAACAGGGGGGCTCCCACCAGCCGGTGTCCCCGCGTCCCCCCACCTGGCTCCGTCCGGGGGACACCCCCGCAGAGGGGGCGCCAGAGGGGCTGGCGGGCCGGGCTGACCCTCCCTCCCGATGGGGGCGGAGGGAGCATCACTGCCCACCCTGCCCGGGGCAGGCGCCCGCGATGGGGCTGCGAGCGGGGGGCCCCCCGTTTATGGTAATCGCATATGCATTTGCATGTTAATGACAATATTTGTCTTAAAGCGGTGGTTGCGCGCGGGGGGGGGGGGCCGGTGCAGGTGGGGGGCCGGGCGGAGGCCTGTGGTTTCCATGGGAGCACCAGCTGCTCGCTCCGCGGCGGGAGGGGAGGCTGAGCTCTGAGGCGTGAGATCCGAGTGTGCCGGAGCCGGAGGGCTGCCCGGCGGGGGCACCGAGGGAGGAGCTGTGAGCCCAGTGGCGCTCACTCGGGGTGCTGCCTGACTCCGAGCTGGGCGTGCCCCTCCCCGTGCCTCAGTTTCCCCAGCCGCGCGTTCCTCCCTGATGTCACAGGGGCCTTACAGGCTGCACTGTGACGTCATGTCTGCCCTCCTTCAGGCAGAGAATGGTGACGAAGCACCTACTGTGTGCAGCGTTCATGGGGAGATGGGAGTCTGAGTGAGCAGGAATCCCTGTGGATTCACGATGGACAGAACACGACATGGATCCGTCTACCCATATAACCAACATTTATTGAGCACTTGCTGTGTACCAGGCGCCGTTCTAGACGCAGGATATGATGTTGGGCAACACAGATTACCGCTCCCCACCCACCCCTGCCAAGAGCTGACCCACCTTCAAAGTCCAGTCTGGTGGGAGGGACACGGGTGGTTAAAGGCATCGATGTTCTGGCTGTGATGGTGGGAACACAGCCCAGAGGAGCCCCTGCCCCTGCGGGCATGGAGACCAGGAGGGCTTCCTGGAGGAGGTGGTTAGTACAAAAGAGCAGTTCTGAGGTTGGCATTGAGATGAATCTGGTTTCTCTAATCTAACTGAGAGACCGTGTTCTCACCTACAGGGTCGGGAGGCAGCAGGGCTTTCTCTCTCAGAAAGGTAGGGAAGGGGAGGACCAGAACGGCAGTTAAGCCAGGCACAGAGCTGGTCAGCAGAAGCTGGGCTTATCATGTGACTGGGCTGATGCCTAGGGACAGGTTGGTGGGGACGGGTGTTCCCAGCACAGAGAAAAGCATGTGCAAAGGCCCAGAGCAGTGCTACCTTTGGAAACTTCTGGCAAGGGAGGGCGATGGGGGTTTTGCCTTGGTGAGAAAGGAACAGAGGATCTTGGGAGCCCCGACGTCTCCTTCTGATGTGGGACTTATCTGGGGGGCTCTTCTGAGACGCTCTGGCATTGGGGGTGTCTCTTTTTCACCCCTGACATTGGCACATGAGAGTCTGGCCATTAGGAGCGCTCAGCAAGGCCGTGCTTGCTCACCCATTCGTTCATTCGGCCAACACTTCCTGAAAGCCTTTTGGGGCCACGTCTTGAACTGGGCACGAGAAATGCGAAGGTCTCTGACGGCAAGACAGAGCTAGACACTAGCATTCAGAGCCAGTGGTCAGGGCGGGTCAGAGGGAGGGAGGCGGGGTCGAGGGAACCGGACAGGGAATCGGGGGCTTTGCCTGGGAATCCGGCTGCGTGGAGGAGGGGCGCTTAGAACGGGGGCTTTGAAGGGAGACAAGAGCCTGCCTGGTGGAGGAAGCGTTTCGTTTGTTTATCGCCGAAACCCGTACCGTGTCCCTGGCCCCGGGATGGGCATGAAACCCAGCAGTAAGTCCGCTAGGCAGATGTGCTCATGCGTGTGGGCAGAGTGAG